ATCTTGTAAAAGGAAACTGGTCCCTATTTAAACATTACACATGTGGATAAAACCCGGAAAATCCACGTGGCCAGCCCGTCCAAGCATGATGCGAATCCACGACTGAACTCCCAGTATTCAGGGTACGAAGACCGCTTGGCCACTGGTGGGCCAGGGTTTATTCAAATTAACCCTTATCTGTATAAATTTTTTTTATACTGGGTCTTTTTTCAATAATTTGAATTTCTTGAGAATTTATACCATTAGGAAGATGAAGAGGGTCAAATATCGGTCCTTATCAACTTTGCACAAATTCATGGAGGTAGTTTGTTTCTGAAAAAGCTTAATATTTCAATATTGACCAAATTATCAAATATTATCGTTCAATCACTGTTTTATCATATACAGATCGTTTGTTAATCCATCTGCTGTTACTGTGTCCACAGCAAGAGTGAATCGATAGTTTGTATAAGCGAAATTTACTTGTTTTATGGAAGCCGCCATGTTAGTTTGTTGAAAATTCAACTGTCTTTCATGTTGAGATTGTTCAGCTCAACAATGAAACAACAATGATGTCACGGGCTTCAACAGACAACTTAACAGTCCATTTAGAAACATTGTTTTCCCACTGTTGAGCTAATTATTGATACTCTGTTACAACATGGTATTTTATTAGCAAAATTTCTTTTAAGTCATTACTTCATAAGATTTGTCAATTTCAGTCGCTACCAAGGAAGCTTTTGTTTGCTTCTTTGGTAGTGACTCAAAACCACCAATTTTTAATAGAATGAATGCATCTTATCCACAAGCTATATAACAGGGGTGGGCAAGCAAGAGTTCAGTGGGAGCCGAAATATAAGTTTTGCAAAATGCATGGGAGCCACAGTTCTGTACTTTTTTATTCTGTACTACAGTTCTGTACTGCAATTTTATTATATTGGGTTGTTCGGAAAGTAAGTTTGTTTTTTTTCGTGGGAAAAAAGCACAGCATTTTTATAATAAATAAATATTTTATTGAATTATATATTGACCATTTTGGTCAAATACCTGTTGTCATCATTTCTGGTAGTAGCATGATTTCACATTCATAAAAATTTTGATCATTGCTTACAAAAAACTGATCCAAGTGATTTTTGACATTGTCATTTCAAGTAAATGTCTTACATAAAAAAATTTGTATAGAACCGGAACAAGTAATAATCTGAGTGTGCTCGATCTGGCGAATATGGTTGGTGTGATAGCACGTCCCATCTAAGTTATAACAGTTTCTGACGAGTTACCAAACTTGTGTGAAATTTGACATTATCGTGGTAAAACACTACACCTGTTTTGTTGATCAATTCTGGCCGCCTTTTCTGTTTGATGATATTACTCAATTTGTTTACTCGATGGCAGTACACTTTCGAATCAATTGTTAAATTGTCTGGTAAAAGCTCCAAAAAAAAAAAATTTCCTTAAAATCCCACCAAAGAGAGCATCTCTCTTTAAGGACATGTGAAACCCACATATTGAGCTTTGAAACGAAACCAGGTTGTTTCAAGTGGTCATAAATGGTTGAATTTGACAAATTTAATCTCTTAGTGATTTCACGTGTTATTATTTGGCAGTTGCTTCAATCAGTATCTTTATTTTGATTTTATTGGCTTCAACTGGCCATCCAGAACATGGTGCATCTTCAATATTGAAATTGCCAGAATGAAATTTTGTAAACCAGTTTTGGCGCTGTCGTTCTGTCAACACATCATCTCCATACATGTACCACAATTTTTTTCTTGCTTGAACAGCATTTTGATTTTTTGGTAATAAAAAAGCAAAATATGCCGAAAATGATGCTTTCGATCTTCCATATTTGATGGGACACAAAAAATAAACAATTGCACAAAATCAAACAAAATTTTTTACAAATAAGTCTTAAAATGCTAACTGTCAAAATATATAATAATAATATGGTTTAGAATGAAAATGGCGGGAAAAATACAACTAATCCGTCTAGTGGTAAAAAAACGAACTTACTTTCCGAACAACCTAATATAATATAAAACAAATATTGAATTTGTTTTAATAAACATATTTTCACAAAATTGTGGAAATAAAATTGTAAAAATAATAATAAAAAGCAGAAATTAACACTTTCAGCAAGAGCCGTATGTAACTCAAAAAGAGCCGCATTTGCCCATGTCTGCAATATACTAATAACAAAACAACAACTAAATTAATGAAACAACTAAAAAAACTTTCTTTTTTGAAAGTTTTTTAGTTGTTTCATTAATTTAGTTAATTAATATCATTAATTAAAACACATACAAAGCATGAATAATACAATGTCCACATTGCAGAATACATACATATACAGTGGGTGATCGGTTAACGAACATAATCCGTTCCAAGACTTTGTTCGTTAACCGATTATCGATTTACCATAGGTTTCTATGGGAATTTGATTAATTCATTTTGGAGACCTCCAAAAAATAAAAAATATAGACCATACTTTCTTATTACGTTTATTTATATGTAATAATAAAAATACATATATACACGGTCTTGCATTTTTATTAGTCATGTTTTTTTCCGTTTGTGGGGGTTAATTAATTAATTAAAGAATCTGTCCAATATCGATTGCTTTTCTGTCTTCTTTATGATTTTTCAGAAGTAGTTAATAGCATTGTAATTGTAGAGAACCCTAGGCCTATTAACCTCAACCTGGTTTGGATGCCATTTTAAGACCGTTGTTCTGTCAGAACAACGGTCTTAAAATGGCATTCTTCCAGGAATCCTTCAATCTCCCACTTCTTTAAAAGATCTTTAATAGCAGATATCGGCATAAATCCGCATTTTCATAAGAAAATGTAAAAGAATTGTTTCTGTCAGAAATATAAAAAGCTGGAATTACAAGGGAGAGTTTCAAAGTTTGGGAGAATACTATCTTCTCAGTATATACTGGGTAGAACGTTGATGTCGACGTCTCCCGCGCTCCGAAAAGTTTTGAATTGTTGCCTGAAGACAAAGGAAGACCAATTGGTATTCGTTGTTTTACGTCTCTTCTTTTTGTGTTTGTTCAGTCAAGTGTTCGTTATCCGAACATGTGTTCGTTGTCCGATTTGTTCGTTGTCCGATCATAAAAATCTTTCGTGAAAGTGTTCGTTATCCGATTTGTTCGTTAACTGATCACCCACTGTACTTAAAAGATATACAAATGGAGTTTGGTCTAGGCAAATGCAAAACGCTATACATTGAAAAAGGAGTTCTGAAAAAATGAGACTTTAGAAGTGGAGGTATTATCGAATCCATGGAAGAGGGCAAGTTTTACAAATATTTAGAATTCCAACAGGCCACCCTTACAGAACATGGTCATATAAAACAAAGATTAACACTTCAATACCAGAATAGATTACATGCAGTGCTAAAAACACACCTAAATGCAAAAGATACTATTAAAGCTATTAATACTTATCACAAAAAAATCACACTTTTAAAAATCCAGCAATGAATTTAATACAATAAGAATGTTTTTGACCAGTTTCACTGACCCTCCTTCGGTTACAATAGAACAGAATATAGAACATGAATACAAAAATTTAAAAACAAGAACAAGAATTCTAAAATAAATAAATAACAGCAATTGTAGTTGAGATTAATAAAATAAAATACTACAGAAATGAAATAAAAAGTAAAAATAAACAAATAAATGTCCCTTAATAAAATTAGCTTACATTAAAGGACTGTCACCTGAATTTTAAAATAAATGAATAATACTACAATTAATTAGATTTCTGTTAACTGGAATTCTAAAATAAATAAATAACAGAAATCTAATTAATTGTAGTATTATTTATTTATTNAAATTGATACTGGTAGTTATATTAATAGAATTATTGAAGAAGTTTGAAATAAATTGAAATAAATAAATTAAGTTTTTTGGCTAAAAAAAAAAGTTAACATAATAAAATACTACAGAAATAAAATAAAAATAAAAAGTAAAAATAAACAAATAATAACTAATAAAACAAATATTTCTTAATAAAATTAAATTTTATAAACGGACTGCCGTGCAATAGACAAGTTGTCTGCCCCTCTTTAGTTGATGCAACTGGATTTTTTGTGAGCTTTACAAATTTCCAATTTTTCTAGATATCACATAGTGTATATATTAGATGTGGGTCTGATGATTGTTGTCTGCTCCCAGTGTACTTGTATGTCTTGATGTTATGTTCCTTGAGTCATTGTTATAAATTATGCATAGTGGCACCCACATAGACCAGTTTTGATTTGGAATGTTGGTCGATTATTGGGATGGAGTAAATCCCTACAGTCAAATTATGGTTATGTGGTTTTTTATCATTTCTTAAAATTGCAAAGATCATTGGGTTGTGTCAATATACTACTGGACATTATTATCTCTGGCTGCTTTCCTATGTATCTTTCTTAAAGATGGGGTATAATTTAAAACCACTCTTCATGTCTGGTCTACCAACACATGTTGACATTTTGATGTTTGAAAGGTTGGAATCAATTTTTGTATTATTTTTATCAGATAACCCTGTTGCTCTGTGATTTTTAACATGTAATTCAGCTCCATTACAGTGTCTCAGATGCTGGCACAATGTGTATATGCCCTTTTTATCAATGATCTAAAGGCTGCAAATTTGATGTGCTAGGGATCAACAGAATTATATGGAATTAAAATAGATTGAAAATATGCAAATTTTGCCATATTTGCAATAGTCCAAAATGTCCAAAAAGTTTACAGTTGTTTCACGCTCTTGGTCTAATATGTAAATTGAAATAAAGGAGTACCTAACCTGATAGCTGTGAGGAAGTCTACCAGATTTATTTATTTATTTGGATTAAAGAGACAATCATTCAAAGTAATAACTTATATAGTTTGTTAAGCTAAATATTCTTTTTATCAATAAGTGATTTTTTTTCATAGTTATATAATTTTTGATCAAATGATATATAAATTAGAATTTTAAAAATAGATAATTTAAAAATTAATTATAATTATTGTTATTTTCTTTTAGGATAACTATGATGTTGCATTTGTTAAACAAATCTATGGTTCTCCTGCTGTGTCCCTTCAACAGCTTCAGAAAGGCTCCATAGATCATTCTGGTCCTGTACGTGTAACATATGATACTAAAGAATTCTTCAAGAAAGCCAGTAAAGCTCTTGGTTTAATGGATGATTTTAAAGTTAGTATTTTGTCTAATTAATACACATTATCTTTTGTATTTGTATCTTGTATATTAATAATATAAGTACAGTTGACTTTTATAAATCAAACTTCATGAAGTCAAATTTCATTTTTTGTTCCTATGCATTTCCATTAATTCAATGTTTATTGTGTTTATACTCAAAACAGTTTTGAGAACACATTTCATAACTTAAAATCTAGGGCCTGGATTCATGAATGTCTTGTAAGATATAACATAGTATCTCTCCAATACCATGAAATTACAAGAAACTAACAATATTTTATATTTCATATTCACAAAACAAATTGCAGCACTTATGATAAAACAGAAGGAATTGGTAATGAGAATGTCTAATGACATCACTAGTGACTGCTTCCATTTTAATAGTGCCAATAGGAAGATGCTTCTTTTAGAATTTTTTCACTGCACATGGTATTTAATCTGTGGTCTGAGGAAAGGTAGCATTTTATTTATTTAGAATTAAAATGGGTAGGAATTAGTTACTTTTAGATTAATTAATTATATGTATAATAGATGATATCTAAAAATGTAACTGATCTAGGTGTAGAAATAAATCTACCCAAAATTGATACTGGTAGTTATATTAATAGAATTATTGAAGAAGTTTGAAATAAATTGAAATAAATAAATTAAGTTTTTTGGCTAAAAAAAAAAGTTAACATTAAATTATAATGAATAAGATTTTTTGGACAACATTCTATAAACAGTTTTAATTTCATCGTAAATTACTCTTTAATTTTTTCATCATTTGATAACATCTTAGAAGTTTCAAATCAGAAAAATTTAGAAGAAATAATCAGAAAAAAATGATCAAATAGGTTATCTATCAATAGAACCAAATATTTGACCACCAGTACCTAGACTTACAAAAGCTTTTAGATATCATGGTAGTTATGAAACTTTTTGTATCTGGCAATTTTGTGTCTTCTATTGTGTTATCAAGAGGATGGACTGCATTAAGGTAAACTCAAATAAAAAAAAGTACAGGTGTCCCTCATACAACACTGTTCCAGAATTTGGGAAATCCTCCATACAAAATTTCACATTAAAAATACAATTTTTAAGTGCAAACTTCATTATTTGATATTTTTTTTATTCAAGTCAGCATGTATGTTGTCTCAAATTTGCCCATAGATTTAGAAATTTTTCTGTGCCTTTTGTCATGTTTATTTTAATGAAAACTGATGGTACAATTTTTTCTTTCTTGTCCTAGCTTTCCTATCAACCAGGTGTTGCTGTCATTGCTTTCAGACTTCAGCCTTTTAAGACCTTGTTTTGTTTTTATAGATTAATCTTCATATCAAGTAAAGTTTATTTAAACATTTTTAGATAAGTGTTATTAAACTTTTTTTAAACTGTAGGTAAGTAATCATTTGTAAAAATGACAAATGATACACATTATCTCAGTACTTGAACAATTTGATATTCAAATATAATTTTTGGAAAAAAATGATTTGGTACTCAACTGAACAAACATGACCTACTAGAACAAATTTTCAATTAATAACATATTTTTGTCATCCATAAAAAAATTTTTTTTGATAAAAGTAAAAAAATGGAGATGTCACTGATATTTCTGATCAAGATCAACAAAAAAGCTCAGAAGATGACAATACTTTGTAAAAAGAAAATGCCCTCATTTAACTAAAATTAATATTAATACATAATGCAGTACTTTTAAATGTCATTGTTAATTATTGGTTGCTTTAATAAACATATTTCTCTTAGTAACAAAAAAAGAATAGTAGACTTTTGTTAACTTTGGGAACCTAACCCATGTTTTGTATTGGTTTTTTGTTTTGTATAGCATGGATTTACAAAACACTGCACTTTTTTCGAATGTATCTACCATGTTATATGAGTGATACCTGTACATTTAATTATTTACATTCAAAGACACATATAAAGTTATTTCACATTCTCATTGTATCATGAAAGTTATTACAAAAAATTTTACAATTTTCTGCCTTTTGTATAAAATGACTTTATTCTTAAATGTGAATTCACCACTCAAATCTTGCAGATAGCAGTCTCAAAGACATTTTGTTATCTTGTATCTGTATGTACTTAAGAAACAATAAAAATATAGTTATACTATCAAATTAAAGAATTAGCATTGCATTAAAGTAATGGTAATTTGTTTAACTTAAACTTTTGTCAAAAATTTTTCTTTGTTCTTCCCACTTCAAGTTATCAAGAGTCAACTGTACAATAATATTGATAATTCTGAATATATTATAAAAAATTGTTTAATTATACTTTTTAAATTAAACTTGAGATTAATTTTGATTTAATATATTATTTAATTTTTATCATTAATTTTTATATTGATATTGTTTTAAAAATGCAATGTAAAATTTTTATAAAAATTAAAGAATTTGAAATTGTTGTTTTACTAACTCATTGAAAAAAATTAATTATCCAGATCACTAAATTTTGAATTTTCTTATGTTAAGGATGCAACAAATATTTTATTATTGTCTGATATTTTATTGGGCTGTAATTTGAAAAAATTGTAGACTTATAAATCTCCACTGTTGTCAGTTTCTGTTCATCCATCAGATCTGTCTGTCTTTTCTTAATCTTGAGATTGGAGTTAGATAGATGAAACATGAGACCAGATATGGGAATTTAGAGGCAAGAGATTCCAATTAACTATATATGAACTTCTACTGCAAACTGAAATTTGTTATTTCAATTCAAAACTTTTCCCCTGAAAGGAATTAGACTGGCACGACAATTGTTAAAGGAAAAGTATGAACGGGAGCATGCCACTACTAATTTGAGGTAGCGAACATACATTTTAAATTAAATAAATTAAAAATATGATTAAAAATTGCAGCTTGGCATTGTGATGATGTCACAATAAATAATTTCTTGTCTACATGTAATTTAAAAATAATGTAATAATCAATCTGTTCAGCTGTCAAGTACTACAAGGTGCTGTCCAAAAATTCTCAAAATGCACAGATAAAAAAAAAATATTAATAGTATCCTTTAAAAATTAATTTTCATCTTTTCAGTCTTTTTGTGAAGCCATACAATTCCAATTAACTTTTTTTACCGGCAGATGAGCCCGGTGTTGCTTGGCAAAAACAACAAAGATTAAGATACTTCTAATACTTCTATTCTAGTAACCCGGTACACCCCAAAGTGGATGTTCTAGTAGCAGCAGCAGTGTCATAAATAATAAATTCCTATTAAATAAAAATAATAATATACTGAATTTCTCATGGCGTACCCTACTAAAACGCATCCAAAAACCACATCAAATAATAATATACTGAATTTATTGTTAATTTAAATAATAGCTAGAGGTGCCCCTAGTGGCCGTTTCTGGCATACTGTGACAGAACCTAGCTTTTCAACTTTGTACAGTAGTATCTCAGAATACGAAATTAATCCGTTCCTAAACTGAAATCGTATCATAAAATGTCGTAAGGTGAATCATTTTTCCCCATATGATTACATTAAAACCAAATAATCTGTTCCAACATGAAAAACACACTCAAATTAAAGCTAATTAGTACATTGAAAAAAAATAACTTTAGTAAGGAATACACTGAAAAATGCATTTTGTAGTTGTAAATGAATAAATAACCATAATAGAATAATAATTGTTAAAAAAAATATAATTTTATTTGCACTTTACCTTTGAGGATAGACTACGGTGGAGGTGTAAACTGGTGGTGGGAGAAGGGAAATTATACCAAAACTTAACTTGCATAACATAATGTAACAATAACTTAAAAAAAATTAGTGTTAAGTTATTTTTAACTTTTCTGTTTTATTTATTTTTTAAATTTTTTATTCACTGCTTTTTTGCTTTCTTTCCTTCACTTCCACCAGCACTTTCACTGGATAGAGGTTGCTTTGTAAAATATCTATCCCAAAGAGGTTTGGCTTTGCCTACTTTTTATTGTACTTTTTCTGTCCTTTCTTACGTCATATTTAACCTTACTCCGTTTTGTATTTTTAACAGCACTGAAGAAGGGTTGGAAACATAAACCAACCCAAAATGCATTTGAATCATTTAAAAAATTTTTATAAAATAAACCATAATTTTTTTCTAACCAATTGCTGTTTGGTCATCTACCAAGAACCAAATTACAAGGACGCTACATACAGAATTTGAATATGCAGCAACCATACCTTATACATTAAGTTTATTCTTTTGTATATTTGACGTCCTAAATCACTTTTCATACACCAAATTCACACTTTCATACATTTTCAACTGACAGACAAAAATTTCAAGCTATCATGCAGTGATGCTTTCTGCCAATCTTAGTTTCAGTAAAAGCATAATTATTTGTGAAATTAATTTTTATTGTGTGCTTTGTTTATTTAAAATGTTTAGTCCATAGATTGATGTTTTATACATTATTGCATATTTAATGTAAAAAGATTTTTTACGTAAATGAAATGTTTTATAGTTTTTCTTGTTAGCTCTCTAGAAACAGAACTTTTATAACAATCAACTCTACAGTATTGTTTGACCTTTGGACATCTTACTTTCATACACATTTTTTAGCAACATATTATGATTGAAAGTTGTAATCTGTTTGATTACAAAATCTGTTTGATTTGCATATTTTCTTCTAAATGAATACAAATTTTAAAAATGATTGTATAATTAAATTCATTATTTAAAAATTATTTTGAATAAAATAATATTTATGGTAATAATTGACATCTTTTATATTCTTGCTGCTATTAAAATGGTCGTAATAGATTTAAATTATATAAGTAAAAATTTGCCTAAATTTTAACTTTATTCTAAAATTTTATTTATTTTTTATCTCATTTTTAAACTTGTTTAGTATGTTTGTGTTTAATTTTATTAAATATTAATTCTAAATATAGGTTTAATTAATACATTATACTGTATATAAAATTTACCTACAAATTTTGACATATTATTTAATTTAAATACTATAATAATATATTGTAAGTAATTATTTTCTATTTTTCTTAAATAATATGAAAAATACTGTCTTTTTTAAAAATGTAAGTTAAGTTTTCTTTTGATGATACAATGAACCTGAATCTTTATTGGGCTAGAACAAAATTATTTTAAAATAAGCAAATTTAAAGAAATATGGTTTAAGTAATCATTAAATTTGAATTGTATTTAATTTGAAGTAATTATTTTAATTTTATTTTTTTCAGTCTGGAGTACCTCGAACGGGATATCGTGGTGTCGTCAGTTTTCTATACAAAGGTAGACGTGTCTATCTTGCACCACCTGCTGACTGGAAAGGTTATGATCCATCATGGAGCTAGCAGCCACTTTGACTAAACCTAGATGATTATGCTCAAAATGCAATCATGTGCATTCATGCTGCATCAATATTGGTATCTTCAGTGGATGTTTATAATGTAAACAAGAGGTTGTGAGGGACCAGATTTTATTTGCAGCAATTTGAGAAGAATTAGTTGGTAATTTAAATAAACCAATCTTAAAAGACTATTTATAAAATGACACACTGTGGAACAGCTGAAATGCAGTCTCTCCATCAGATTATGGAATATCAGATCGAGTTCATTGCAGTTTAAGACTAAAAATAAACTGTGTATCAGCTTAGGCCCATCGTGTGCACTGCCCAAAATTAGGTTGAAAAAGCATCATTTTCATTGTTAAAATTCTGGAAAGTTAAACATTTTAATTACTTCATGTACAATAAAAATAAAATAAATTGTACATTATAATTTAGTCTTCTCTACACTGTGCCAAAATAAATTTTTAATATTATATTCATAAATAATTTATTCGCTTGCTTAACAGTTCATTAAATACTTTCAGCAATTCTTCCAAACTTTTCAGATGATATATAAATATTGTAAAAACTATCGATTAGAATTAAAGATACAGTTATTATTTTATTGCACTTTCATCTATATACTGTACATGTGTACATAGAAACTTTGAAATTAGAAAACATGTAGGTTAAACATTGTTCGGATGATAAAAATTCAGAAGGATTATCTATATATTGTTTTTGTATTTAATATAGATATCCTAATTATGTAAAATACAGTTAAAAATTTAAAAACAAAAAAAAATGAAAATTTAAAAACTGCAATAAAGTTCTTTTAAATTATAAATTTAATACAGTTTTTAAGTCTTAAGAATGTAAACAGAAATAAAAAGAATCGCTTATTTGTACGTATTCCTTATTTTATCAATTTTTTTAAAGATAAAGAAAAATTACCTTCTTGGAATAAATAATTTAAAAACCTGTTTTAAATTTTGCAGTAATTTATGGAGTTATTGTTTGTTGTATTTAATTCTTTTATAATATACCACAACAACGGCAATATGTAAAATTTATTGACTTTTGCCTTATCCAAAGTCGAACTTGTGCATTCGATCTTCGTAATCTAACATTAAGAAATATTTTTAGATCGTTCATTAAAGTAATGAGCTATATTTCTTATGGCTATCGGGAATATAAGCGAAACGTATTCTTGGCGGAACTAATTGTAATGGTTATCGCTACGATATTTTTGGAATTTTTTGTTCAATATTTGTTTATTATTCATAGATGCAACAATTATGGATTATCGATGATTATCAAGTATTATATGTCATCATTTGTACGGTTCACGACTAACGAATAGGATATGTAAAAAAGAAAATTAAACTATTGTACCGATTCTTATTAACTTCGTTCCATAAAAGTTAATATTCGATTAATATTTAATGGCAAATCGATTAGTTCCGCCAAAATATTTTAGTTAAAGTCAATAATGATTAGCAGAGGGCGCTGTACCGTTTCCATCAAAGAAGTAAAAATGGCGGAGTGTGGCTTGAAGGTTGTTGGAAGCGACAAGTCGCGATGGACTAATTTATAAGTATTAAGTATTTAAACGTGCGGGAAACAATCTAATAATGTGTGGTTAGAGATGGCGAGTGATGGGAATAGTGAATCCAGCGGAAGTGACTCTGGTTCTACTCCGGAAGAGGAACGAATCAGGAGATTGTTTCAAACGTGCGATGGGAATGGTGATGGATATATTGACAGGTAGGAAAAAAATAACGGAGATGCTTTATAACAAAAGTATTAAAATGCTAGCAATTCTCCCGTATAATTTAATCCGACAATCGCTATCTTTCGGGCATGGAAGTTACTTTCAATCTAAATATATATGTAAGGTTGATTTATGTTCAATGAAAATTTAAATTAAATTTGGGATAGAAGCTAGCCAATGTAATAATTATTTAATGTTATAATGAGAATTACAAATACTGTGTACATTTATAATCTAAAGCCCAACATATCCTGTGTATTGCATAGAATAAACATATAGAAAATATATATTCTGTAATGTATGTTTATTCTATGCAAAATGTATAGGATTAAGGTATTAGCTTTAGACTATAATTACATGCATATTATATTAATACATTAAATGTGTATATAATGCATATATAGTTCTCATTATAATGTTACATAATTATTACATTAAATTAAGATTGAAGTATCCAATTTGAATTCTCATTGAACATAAATCAACCTTACTTATATATACAGATAGTGTTGAATTATTGCATATTTAATGTAATAAGTATTAAAATTTTATGGAACAGAAAATTTGTCCTTTTAAATGACTAACAAGTTAAATGTAAACATTTACAGTTTATAAAATTACTGGTAATTTAAATTAATTTGGCACCTTTTAATATGGTTAAGCTTGTGTGAAAATTAAACATAATAAAGGGCTGTAAAATTTGAGATATTACAAGATAGCATCATATTTTTATCATAATGTTTATATATTTTATTGCTCTACATTAAAGATAACATTTATTCCTCTGCATTAAGAAAAGTATTGAATGAGATTGAAATGATCTATTAATGGAATAAATGTTTCTAATCTAATACATTGTTTAAGTTAAAAAAATAAAAATAATAAGTAGCATTGCAATTTATAAAATACTATATAATCATTGTCATTTCAAATTCATTTAACTTGCTTAAACAATTTTTTAGAGATTGCTAACAATAATAATAGAGAAGATATGAAATCTTATTTCTAATATATACAGTTTAATATATTAGTGTATTCATTTGAAATCTGATACCTTTCATTCATGCAGACAGTGTTAAAATTTTTATGTATAAACATTCTGTATGTTTCTCCTGTTTTGAATTAGAATTATATTTCAATTTTTTTTTATTAGATATTAAATTGATATTGTTTTTAAACTAAGATTTTCAATGTTCTTAAATTTGAATTAAATCTCATTTTTTGTGTGGGAAATAAGGTCTGGAATTTTGAATTAGAACCAATTAGAATTGTTTTTAGAAGTTATTGTCATTAAATTATTCCAAACATTAAGCTTTAATTTTATTTCCCTCTTATTTTCTCAAATTTCCTCAAAAATCTTAAATCATTTTTTCTTATCTTTTTATCAAATTATTATAGTTATATCAGTTTTTAAGTAAGGTCAGAAAATACAAAAATGAATAGCTTGATAGCCATCACTATAACTGTTAACAAACAATTGAATGTATTCCATTTTAAAACGATAGGCCTTAGGATAGTTAGGAATGAGACCAATCAGGAAAAAATACTTAACATAAAATTAGCAGAGTTCCAAAATTTTGGAAATTGTTTATTGAGAAATTAAAATTTACAAAAAAGTCTTTTAGCAAAGATAATTGACTCTCCCAAAGATATATTTTATGTTTAATAAATCTTTTAGCAGTTTATTTGCTTGGTTTTAAACATGATGAAGTTTTGAGAACTACTGATATTCTCTTTATCATTATTGATATTATTGAACAATCCAAATTTAGATTTCAGAGTTAAAATAATATTTTTTTATTAGAATTTCATAGAAATTTTGGAAATTGTTGCTTGAAATTCTAGTATAATATATTTTGACTCTAGGCACAATTTAACAAGAATTAAACTGACATGAACTGAAATCTAAATTCTGCCTTTGGACTAGACAAATTGCATTATGTGTTATGTACTGACTTTATAACAGCAGAAAGTTGATTCTATCTGATGAAATGTTATAAGAAAGTTGGAGACAGTTCTCATATTGGAAGAAAAATATATAAATATTATTTAAATTATATTTTCATAACAACATACATGATAACAACCCAGGATATCTTCAATTTAAAATTGAATTATGTCTATTTACAAAAATTATAAAATTTTCGAGTCTGTCTTTCACCTTTTAACACTTTTTTTTATATTTTCATATTCTAAAATTTGTTTAAATAAAACTAATGAGTTTAAGTTAAAAATAGGAATGTATTGATTATTGATATTAATTAATAACAGCTGAACCAAATGTTAGTAATGAGGTTATTTAGGGTTCAATTAGGTTGATAATTTGACATTATTGCCAATATTGGTTAAATTGTAAAATTTTCAAAGCAAATGAAGAAAAATTAAATGTTTAGTAAAAATAATCAATAACAACAACAATTTTTTATTATTTTTAACAAAACAAATAATCTCAATAATGAAGAAATAAAATATTTAAATTTCTGAATTTAAACTTGAAAAATTAATCATAAGAGATTAATTAAGTAGCTTAATGACATTGAGAATTTATGCCAGCTTTGAAATTAAATCTGGTTGATATATATATATATAAGTCAATCAAATATTAAGGAAATATAGCATTAAAAATATTATGCTTAATTTAATCCACATTCTATTATCATCATCTAATTAACAAACTGGCTAAATGCTTGTAATAAATTCTGTATATTTATACAGGCTGGAATCTGATTGATTTTAAAAATTAAAGTAAATGATATTATTGTTAAGCTGTTACAAAATTAGACAAGGAAGCCAAATGAAGTACTATTAATATAAATATGTTGTTAACTAGTAATTAACTAAACAGATCTTACTTTATTTCAATTTTTTTTAATCAGAATATATATATGAAGTATACTGTAAATACTTTCTTTTAGACATTTTTGTTTATAATTTAAACTACAAAATTTTATAGTAACTGGATGCAACATTTACATCTTTTTTATTTCTAACATTGCATATTGAGCTAAAACTTGCACTTCAAAACTCTTTTAAGTATAGTTAAGCATATTTTTTGTTTTGTGTTTATATTCATATAATGTAGGCATTTAAAAAATACAATATACCAAAAACAATATTGTATTTTTTAAAACAAGAAATATGGTTGTCAACTGAAAATTATGAAGTGATGAGATAGCCATTGTCTTTGTAAAATTATTATTGATGCTTTCCTGAATAAACATTATGATGATAGTTTTAATTGTATTTATATTTATGTACTGTACTTTCAAATCAAGTTATTTGAAACATGTAAGTAAGATATAAAAATATATTTTTTATATATATAATTGAGTTTCAATTCTATTTTTATTACATGTATACTTTATAAACAAAGATATGTTATGTTGCTATTACAAATAAAAATCAACTCTTCTTATTCTTATCAATTATTCTTATCTTATTCAACTCTTAATTTTAGATATGCGTGTTCTATATATAAGAAAGTGTTTGTATTGTATTTTTTGTTTTTATTTTGTAATCTAAAATTTTTAAATTGAAAACAAGGAATAGATCTGTTCAGAGATACTTTCTAAAAGAAAAGTGTTTGAATGAAATGTTTGGCATCCGGAAAGACAAGATCATAATAAACATTAAGTGTGGGTGTTAACAGTACAGCTCTTGTATTCTGATAACTTAAGAATAGAACTTATTTAAACACTGCTTAATAAATTGGAGAATAAATTTCATGATTTAAAATGATATGAATATTGAAAAATAATACATATTCATACAGAATAGCTTTAATTTTAAATGATTAGTTTGATTTAAAACTAAATTTAGAATCTAAGATGGTCATGTTTTATCTGTAACTATATAATGATAAGGTTTTGAATACATTTTTAAACAATTAATTATGGATATTGTAATTGGACTGCAATTTGAAAAAACTGTAGACCTATAAATTCCCACTATCATCAGTCTGTCCTTCCTTCGTCTCAAGAATGGAGTTAGATGAAAACTGAGACCAGATATGGAAACCTTAGGGGCAGGAGGCTCTGATTAGCTATATACAAACTTACAATGCAAATCAGAAGTTGTTATTTCAATTCAAAAATTTTCCCTTGTAAGGTGTTAGATAGATGACTAGCACAACCCTATTGTTAAACAAAAGGTAGTATGTACAGGGACAAGCCACAAGCCACCACTAATTTTAGGTGGAGAGCATATATTTTAAATAAAATAAATTAAAATGTGATTAAAAATTTCAGCTTGGCATTGTGACAATGTCAGAATAAATAATTGCTTGTGAATTTGTAAAATTAATTAATTATTATATTTATAGAATTATAATTTTGTAATAAAAATTACTGATTTCATTACCTGATTTTAAAAATAAACTTTATTTTAAGAAACTTATTTCATAAAAATAATTAAGTCATCTTTTAAAGCACATTTTGTATCAGTATTTTTATTCCTATTTTCAGATATATTTTATTTAGAATTTAACAAGTGCTTTATAATAAAATAACTGCATGTATTGACTTAAACTTAATAGAAATCATTTGTCTTTGCTTGTTTAATTGGTTAGATGAAACAACAGCAGAATAAATTAAGAATATAAAAATCATGTAATTTGAAGAACTATAAATACTGTATTGGTTTTTGTTACTTAGTAAATGTAACCTGTTATAACATTTTTAATATTTAAGTCCAAGGTCAAATCCATGAAATTAAAGCATTCATCCTTATTAGTTGTCAAAATGATCAAGATAAATTGCATGCAAATATTAATAAGACTATCATCTGGAATTAGGTATTATTTTTGATGGATTTTACATTGACAGGACTCAACTATCAATTCTGGTTATCAAAATTGAATCAAGTTGAACAGCTGAAAGTCTATTGGTATTAGATGGGTTTCTTTGTTAGAGGTTGTTTTCATATTGAAAAAATCATTTGGTTTCTCATTATTTGTACAGTACATTTATATATACTTCTGTATACTTTATACAAA